AAGGACAAAGCGATTGATCCAGTTGAGAGCGTAGCGTAGGAGACAGGTAAGATGACCATCAACGGACAAAAGCCTCTCATTATTATTATTTCACTTTTATGCTTCAATCAGGCCTATATTCGCATTTGAATGATACCAATCGAGATGGCTTTTTCAGGGACTGGCCTCTTCCCTGAGGCAATCCCTGGGATTCAAAAGAGTGAGATGGAACTTTCTCTGTCCTATGCCCTCATCACTAACCATTCCCCTTATCTTTGCATTTCTTGATCGGTCGCTCAAGAGACTGACGTTCGTTCTCTTCCTCTGTGCATCTCTGTGATGGGCTCATCATAAGCTTTTTTTATCCTCCTCTTACCGGGATATCTATTATATCAAGATTTCTTTTTTGAGTCCACTAAAAGCCCATTAATGGCACGTTTAACCCGTTGAAGGGCTTGACTCTTGTGAGATGGGTGTGCTCAGCCGCCTCCAACTCTTTCTGTGGGTCAGACAACTTCCTTAAGTCAGCAGACATCATATTGATCTCTCTACTGCTCCCGCAAACGGTGATGTCTCGATTCCCATTGGTCGGTCTGCTATCCGGAACAAACCTTTGTCCAAGTAATCTTGAATCAGATTCCTGAAATTTACACAATTATTTGTAGAGTGAGTCCATTTCTCGTGCCATTTACAATAACGTTTTCCTTTTCTTTCTTCTTTTTTAGGTATCTTATGTCTAGGCAGACAGGTCAAAAGCTGTTGATAACCCGGCGGCTGCTTCAGAGCTTCAAATGCCAACCAGTCGGCCGCGATCTTACCTTCTCTCTTCTCTATGAGTATGCTTACAAAAGCACTGCCAATCCCTTTGAACAAGATTCCTGCAAGCTTGGATCAGTTGTGCTTGAGGGTGATTAGAGAAAATCAAATGAATCACAGCATGCAAACAATATTCAAAAACTGTTTCAAGAATGACCTGCTTGTAACCCAAATCCCATGCCAACATAAGGCCACGGTAGATCTTTTTCTTTGCCTTTCAAGATATTGCGTATAAAGAGAAAGATAGCCAGTCCTCTTGGA